AATACAGACACAAATCCCTTATGTAATCCATATTCTACAAAACAGTGTAACTACAACTTTCTCAAATAATATTAGCTGAGAAAGTTTGAGTAAATGTTACTACTCATTTCAATCATGAATTTCAGTTTTCTATTAACCAGTTTGAGTTGAATACACTCTTTTATTGTAAGAAAATTTAAAAAGTATTGTAAAATTTTGATTGAATACTTAGGCATCTCTTCATCACTCATCTTACTAAGAATTTAAACATATAAATTACGTTAATATGTCTTGTGTTTAACATTTCATATTCTCAGAAAGACTCTTCTACAATCTGTTTCTAGCTTATGCATCTTTGGGTTGTAGTTAGCTCATGCATAAGCCCATTAAGATATCTCTTTTTCTTGGACGTTTCTTTTCTTGTTATGCTTGTTGATTGCTTTGATTAGCTCCCATTAGAATTTTAATTAAATTCTTTATTTATAACTTACTTTTAAAGGATTCTTTTAGACAATAGGCTCAATATGGAAAAAGAATAATAAAATTTATAAAGAATGATTAAATATATGTTCGAAGATCTCATTGTCTTCATTGAATATTGATATTAATTTATTTTGTTTATTAATAAATGGATTAAGTGGAGATGATATATGAAGAAGAGTAATCTCCTTTACATATCAAACGAGAACTAGACATCAACATACCATATAGAGTTTCTTTTCCATCTTGTAACATCCAACAATAGAAAGACACTCCCAAAACTGCCATAAGGAACATTGAACATCTAGAACCTGAAGAGCAAGAGATTCCAACAGAAACTACTCCTAAAACTTAAATAGATGTTTCATCTCCAAGAGTACCATTTTTAACTCATTCCTAAATTATGGGTATGAATCAAGATGATGATGACATGCTCTATTCAAAGTCAGTTTTTAACAATCCTCTTTCAGAAATACCAGAAGAATAAACACCCAGTTAATTGTAAAATGTAATCTTAATCTCTTATCTATTAAGCATTCCAAACCCTCAAGTTAAGATTTTAATTTAGATAATATGAGTATGGTCAATAGTTAGTAATTAAAGTTCAGTAAGAAGTCATTAGAAAAAGACTTAATAGTTCGTTTAGAACTTGAGAACAGTAGATAGAAAGAAGAAGTAAGACTTCACTCTATCTTTAGTATAAGGAGCAAATTGCAGTCATGGATGTTAAAATCAAAGAGTTGGAAAAAGAGAATTTTATTCTGAAAAAGAAATGTAATCAAGAAAAAGTTAAATAAATTGAACTTCAATTAGAAACTGAATATAAAATTACAACTTTGAATGAATAATTGTATGATTAAGAAGATTTTTATAAGAAATAGATAGTCTCTTTAAAAAATGATCTAAATAATGCCAAATTTTAAATTACAATGCTTAAATCATAATCATAATAATAAGAATAGTAATTATAACATTAATCATAATTATCTAAATCTTAAATTACTTTTTAACAACCATATATTTATTAATAATAATAGATTAAACAACCTTATCATGTATCATTATCATAATCATTTACTGAAATGAATGTTAAAAATTAAAAGGAAGTTTATTTAAGTTAGACATAATATGATAGTGTTCAATTTAAGATTGGATAAATCTTACGATTAATCGATTAATAAGTTGATTTAAATAAGAAAGATCTATTTGATTTAATTTAACTTTTATAAACCAAAATAAAATAGATACTTAATATGGATGAAGAAGAAAAAATGGATGAACATCGAACATTAATTACTAGTCTTAAGGCTGAATTAGGAGAAATTAAATTATTAAGAACATAATTATCAAAAATTTATTAAGATTATGAATAATAAATGAATAAAAAAACAGTGGATTAATCTATTGATTCAAAAATAAATGAATTAAATTTATAAATTTTAGGAATCAAATAAGAGAAATTAGAATTAAATGAATTGACAACTAAATTGTAAAATCAATTAGCTTCAAAAGATTAAATTATTAATGAATTGTAATCTAAATTAAGTAATTTTCTATTTAATTATTTTTAGATAATTTATCATAAACAGATACTCTTAGAAAACAATCGCAATTTGTACGTTCTTTACAAACTAATTCCATGATTGATTTAAAAATAATTAAAGAATCACTTAAATAAAGATAAGAAGGAATTAAGTAATTATTTATAAATTATATTAGAAAAACATTTAAATCCTAAAATTCCCCTTAGAGTAGATCTCATAATCCCTCTCCAACTTTAAAATTTTTGAATTCTCCCAAGTAAATATTAAATATTAATATAGAAATTCTAATAATGGCTCAAATGCCATGAAAAAATAATCTTAATAAGATACTAGACAATAATTTTATAACAAGACTTCAGAATTTAGGTAATATACTTTGTTTTATATTATTTTATTAGTGTTGATAATAGCTCTTCACATTAAGCCACTAATCACAATAATAATAGTTCACATCAGAATAGCGAAATAATATAAAAACTTGTTGAATAATTTAAAGGGAATTCTGCTTTGGCTTAAAGAATATCAAGTTATTCGAAAAAGAATTGAATTATTATTTACTGAATTTATAAACCTATAAACATTTATGAGAATCATAAATATTCCAAATTTCGAAGTTCAATATCAACTTTAACAAAAGTCCTTTCTTTCTATGATGCATAGAATATTATGACTAATGTTAAAGTGCTAACCATTATGAGTTGGAGATGAAAATAAATTGGAGATATTTAATGAATGTCAAATGAACTAAGGATATATATATAATACTTACTCAACTAAACCAATTTTTTAATTAGTTTTATCGAATAACACTGTTGTAGACATTATAAATGGCAATCCTAAAATTAAATAATCACGATTATGTTAACTGATACATAATTTACAAAGTTTGTCATCTTAAATTAATTTATTATTTACTATATGAATATGGAAAGTAATTCTAAGATTCAATAACAATTTTGGCACCTTCAAAATATATTGTGAAGTTAGGGAAATTATTATAGTTGCAATCACAATATATTGATTTATCGATTATTTTACATAATGATTTTAAATTCTTTTCCCAAATATATGCAAATTAATCTAATTATATGTAAACTTCATTTACTTTAAGTGAGAACCAAACAACTATATCCACTATCTAAAAAGGCACTCCCTGTAAATATATCAGTCACATCTTAATTATCTATATAAACACCCAGCATTTTAATCATCCATCTGTGATCTACATTCAATTAATGCCAAGTGACCTTCTCTTCTATATTTGTAATATTGTAATAAAGCCTTGACTCATTATTTTTCCTAAACTCCAATCCAAAGATGGAGCTGTGAAATTATTAATCCTCGAAAACATGTTTTACTTGAAATCTGTTTGACAAACCCATCAGACCAATGTATTAATCAAAGAACTAATAACATTAATAAATATACTGGCATTTTCTAACATGTCCCATATGCCATTGTAAATTAAGGAATATATAATTATTTCGATAATACTAGTCTATCCATTCCAAATATTCCTTTGCATTTACCTAAGTCATATTGTTGCTCATAAGTTTAGTTTAGATTTTAAAATGTTTGAGATTGTTTATAAATAGACTCTATCATAGTCACACTTGACCCAGTATCAATGATAAAAAACAATTAAGTATTGTGGATTTCTGCTTCCAACATGAAAGCAATCTACATAATTAATTGCAATACATTGTAGTAGCTAATGACTGGCAGATAAGGCCAATTGTGTGTATTTGCTTAATTCAATATTATAAAGAAAAAGAAACAAATCATAAATGATAAATATCTAAATCTGTGTATTAAAATAACCAATTGAATATGTAGTTGTCAATTGTTTATATATTCTTTAAATTAAGAGTCATGTATAAATTGATATAAGTAAAATCCTTGCTTTAGTAAAAGTAATAAGTAATCTTATAGAGTCATTTTAATCTAAATATTGATTAATTAGATGGCTAACATGAAATAGAATGATATTACTTTAATGAATTTATAAAATAATTTCTTTCTTATTAAAACAAAAACTATATAAAAGAAAGTACTTTTATGATTTGAACACTTTAAAATAGAAGTAGAATATTTAAAAAACTAAAATCATAAAAAAAGATTGATTAAAGAAAATAATGATTAGTATAAACAAATAAAAATATGATAATTTATAAGATAAATTAAGAATTTCTAAGTATTTTAGAATGCTAAAAATAAATATTAGGAATTATAAAAATTAATTGAGCAATTTTATTCATAAATAAAATCTTTATGTATTTTTATTTATCATTTGTTTGATATATACTATGTTATAAGGGGAACTTTCAAAATAGATTGATATAATTACAATCATTAAAAATCTTAATGTATTTACAAATAAATTTTATAAAAATTAAATGGTAACAGAAAGAAATAATAAAATTTTCTTATTTAAAAATATATACATATTTGCAAAAACACAAATTTTAGATTAGATACTTATTTATCATCGAAAAATATTAAATTAGAATTTGTATATATCAGATTTATACAATAGAATAGAATTTAGAATTCATTCAGAAAAAAGTGTTCTATAAATTTCTAAATACATACCCAAATAAATATGTGCTTACATTTACATTTGATAATTATTTGGTGAGTTTTTTTACTTCTATTAAATGCTAAAATGTATATGAATTTTTTATCATCCTTAATGAATTTAGAGACCTGCTGAGGAATAATTTTAATTTTTCAAAATTATATAAAAGTAAAATAATGCCTTGATTTACAGGAAAGGATATTTAGAGATTCTAGAATAAGATTCTTTCAAATAGTATCAATATGTGAAATAATCGTAGATTAATATATTTATATAATTTTCTAAATCAAAAAACTTAGCTTAACTACCTCAATCAATTTCGATTGAAAATTAATTAGAAATTACTAATAGAATAAATCTCTTATTATAATGCATTTTAATTTACTCAAAATAATAAAATAATAATATATAAATTAATTATGGATTGTTAAAGAACATATTTAAATGTGAATTAAAGAAAGAAAAACAATAATTATCCACTTTATAGATTAGATGCTATTTTTGAACGATGTGAAGATGGCTCCAGCATAGGTTCTAATCTACAAAAAAGAATAGGAATAGACATATTTGAAGATGCTAATTAATTAAAGAAAGTATAAACAAAATTGGACATTACAAATTTGAAGCAAAATTTTTTTAACAACTCCCAAAACATAAGCAATTAATTTTTTGAATAAAAAAAAAATTTGTAACAGAACCTAGAAATAGAATGGACCAATTCTAATAAAGTTCTATAGACTAATTTTATTAATACAGAAGATATCAATATTTTGGAAGTTGATGAAATAAATTATTTAGAATTAAATGCTTCACCAAAAATAAAGAGATTTAAAACAAAATATTCTTAAAAGATCAGCAAAGCTATAAAGAAATTCATAAACTGATAACAATGTAGATCTATAAAAAACAAATGATTTTTATTCAATTATCTTTTGATAATTCTATGCTTCATTATATTAATTCTTTCAATCTGAATAAATGAAAAATTGTGTAAAATACAATTCTGTTTTTTTTATTTTGTAATAAAATTCAAATCATTCAGGTAGATATTATGAAAATGGAATATATTACAAATAAATAAAATTTAAATTGTTCTTCTAAGAAAAATAAATTTTAAATAAAATTTTAATTAAAAAAAATGTTATTAAATAAACTAAGTATAAAGAATTACTTTTAATTTTAAAGCTTCCTAAAAGATATAGATTTATTTCTAAAATGATTACTTCCATTAGATAGTTAACATTTTTATCATCATGCATCATATTAAAATAAAGACTTTGATTTTAAATAAATCTATCAAGAAATTCAGTATATTTATATATTAAATTAAAAAGAATGTTTATTCATAAAAATCAATTTTTATATTTTTCACTTTTTTTTTTCTTATATATCAAAATGTTATTAAAGTATTTAAATTAATGACAATCTTCTATGCTAGTATTACCCTTTAAAAATTGTCAAAAGAGATGATTTTTAAAGAATTCTTCCAATTTTTAATAATGAATTTTCTTTAACAAATTAATAAATATTGTTATTCCCAGGTGAAAAAGGTACGACTTAACAACAAATATAATCATTAGAATGAAAAGAAGAGGAAATAATTAAGTTTTTGAATAAGATTGTGATAAAAAATTACAAAGTCGAAAGTATTGGAAAGAAGAAGAGGATAATAAATTGCATGCTGCTGTTTTTAAACACGGTTCAAATTGGAAGTTGATTGCAGAGTTTGTTCCAGGTAGAAATGCATCCTAATGTGCATAAAGATGGAAAAGAATAAAACCAAAAGAGGTAAAAAGATTTAAATAAGAGTTAGAATGAAAGAAATCAAAAATGGACAGAAGAAGAAGATAAAGAAGTATTAAGACTTACAAAAATTTATTAATTTAATTGGAAATAAATAGCTAATGAGATACCTAATAGAACTGGTAGATAAATAAGGGAGAGATATGTAAACCATTTAGATTCTAATATTATAAAAACGCCTTGGACTAAGTAGGAAGATAAAAAGATTTGGGAGATGTATTAGAAGATGGGTACAAGATGGTCAGATATGTCAAAGAAAATGCCAGGAAGACCTGTAAAAATTAAATAAAATTTAGGAAAACATGATCAAAAATAGATTTTATTCATTTATAAGAAAATAATATGGAAAAGTGTAGAATCCTTATTATATCGTACCTAGTAAAGTTAGGATTTTAGATGAGGAAGGATTGAAATAAAGTTAGGGTATGAAGAAAATAAGAAAATTTAAGAAAATTTAATAATCATTCAAAATGGAAGAATAATTAGATGAAATGCCAAAAAATATAAATCAAGAGAACAAATAATAATAAAAGTAACCAGAGTAACAAAGTTAATCAATACCATTTACATAGTTTTAAACTTAATAGTCTTAATAATAGTAATAATAAATATAATTTTCTTAATCATAATTTCCATCATTGTAACATTCTCAAATATAATAATCATAATTCCCATAAATAATAGATCCATTTTCATTTTTTTAGGATTCTATAAGGTCAGATTCATACAGAATAAATTAATATCCTGAAGCATTGAAACAATTTTAGGATTTTCAAAATTGGTTAAAGGAATCATTAATGTCTTCATCGGATCCTGAAATAAATCGAATGTATAAGTTTGAAACACCAATGATGAGTTTTTTGTATATGAATCCCAGTTTAATTCATTCAATACAATAGTAACCAATAGTAATGAAAGAAGAGGAGAATGAGAAATTGTTTGGAGGTATAGAAACATCATTGCCAGTTTAAATAAGACCTGATATTTTTGAAGAGATGAAAAGAACAAATACAGAATAACATCAACAATAATAGATTATAAATCATCACTAAAAATAATGATGAAATTGGAATAATGATTGTTAATATATTATTTGAATGTGCCAATATGGATCAAATTCCAACTTTAGATTTGACATATTATTCAAAGCTTGGTTAGGTTAATAAACCAAGAGCTTGCTTACTGATCTCGATTTCTTTGTTATATTCTGCAACAGTTCTGTTGTAGAGATCGGTTTCAGAAGCATAGTTATCATTTTCAGCTTATAATTAAGCTTAAAGAGTGGCTCTGTCATCTTTTCTTTATCCAACATAAACGATGGTTTCTCCTAATTTTTCTATAAAATTAATATTAATTCTTACATTCATTAGCAGCAATTTCAGAATTCTTTATGAGGACAGCTCTTTAGAATTCAGCAAATTCTTTTTCTAATTAGGCTACTCTCTCAGCGAATTTAGTTTCAGCTGAACTTTCATCAGCTGTTTCTTAGTTTAATGTATCAACAAATTAGACTCTCAATTCATTAAAGATCTTAACCAATTATGAAACTGATCCTTAATCGGCAAAGTTTTATTCTGTTGCTAATTCAAGTAAGGCTTTGATAATTGGAGCAAATGAAGAATGGTTTTAGAATGAAGTTTGGATTCTACCTAAATTGGTTTAGACTCTCTTGAATTAGACAAGTGATGGGTTAGTAATTTAAGAAAGTAATCCTAAGGATTCATCGACAGCACCAATAGCTTCATTAATTTCAGCTATGTTGGATAAGAATTACTCGTGTTGTTTCTTTCTGTTGACTGTTTCTGAATCAAGAATTCTTCTGTTTTCCTCAATGTTGGTTTTCAATTGAGCAAGAGCATCTTAGAATCTTTATTTTTATGGAATGAGAACGTTATCAATGAAGTCTTCTCCGTTGAAAATATCTAATAATATTATTTAAACATTAACCTCTATCAGCATCTTAAATTTCTTATTCATATCTTGTGACATCTCTATTATGTTCATCTGTTCTTCTAGAGTAAGCATGATGAATGTCATCTAATTCCTCCTCTAATTAGTCAATCAATTAATTGATAGCTTCAACCAATTCTGTTAAGGCTCCTCCACTTCCCAATTCTACTTCTGCGAAGTCAACTATGAAAGAAGCCCATTTAGATTCTCTTAATTTGGCCAAAACTTCTTCTGAATGTCTTTCCATATTGAGTTCAACGCTCAACACTCCTAATATCAGGCAAATTAATAATCCTGTTCTCATTTATTTTAAATAATAAAAACGACTATTCTTATTTAATAATTTAAGGATATATATACATTCTAAATTATATTATTTAAATAATTCATATTCAAACTTATAAATCAGTATTAAAAAATAACCTACAAGTTATAAATCAATTCCTTATTGATCTCTTTTACATAATAACATTTTGTTGAGAAAAATCATTTAAGAATTATTATTTTTATTAAATAATATTCATTATTATAATTACTATTAATCAAATAAAAGTAGATTCATTAATGATTTCTTAAATTCTCTAAATTTAATTTAACTATTATTGCTTATAATTATTTTTTAGTTTAGAATTAATAATTTTTTATATTTCTATTAATAAAACAATGTAGTCATCAATAAATAATATCGAAGCAATTAAGAAATAATTTGGAAATAAGTACAAAAACCCAGAGAAATGTGGATCAGGGACCTATTCAGAAGTTTTTAAGTGTCAAAATCAAAATGGAGAATTTGTAGCCATTAAGGTTCGTGAGTTATTTAATTTTGTTTTAGGTGGTTGATATATCTAGTATAGACTCTCATCTAGTTGATTATTTTAAGAATGAATAAGGATTATTAAGTATTAATGATAATTAAAATGTTATCAAATTGTATGAATATTAAGAATCAGATTAAACATTATTTTTTGTCTTAGAAGTCTATTTTATTATTTAATCTTTAGTATTGTCAAATGGATGTATCCTAAATGATGAAAAAATATTATAACAATAGGATACCAGAGAATATTGTAATTATTATTCTTAAAAATATTATGAATGGATTATAAAATTTACATAAAAATAATATCATTCATAGAGATTTGAAATTAGATAATATAGGAGTAGTGATTAAGGAAGAGAATCTAATCAAACTTGCATCAAAATAAGAAAATAAATATGACTCAATTTTTAAATAGGCATCCTATAAATTACTTGATTTAGGCTTTGCTAAATAGGTGACAAATCAAACAAAGACTTTGGTAGGAACTTTTTATTATATGGGTATATTTATATTTAGATTTATATTTAGCTCCTGAGGTTATAGATGGAAGATTTTATTCATTTTAAGCAGATATTTATAGTTTGGGTGTTTGTTTATATTAAATGATTACAGGAGAGCACCCCTATAAAGGTAACAATTAAAAGACATAATATGAAAAAATAAAGCGATAAGAGGCCAACTATTAAGTAATCGAAAATTAATTACTTAGAAATATAATTTAATAAATGCTTTAATTTGATGTTGAAAAAAGATTCAAATTTTAGGAATTATATTAATCATAATTGATTAAAAATTTATAAGAAACACAACCATCTATTTTGGAGATATCCCTAACTATGAATACTTAATTCTATTTAATAAATGAATCCAACATAATATATAAAGAAGACATATAATAACAAAATTAATAAATAGATCATCAAATCCAAAATCATAGATAATCTTTTGAAAACTCTTAAATAAACAGTTAAACTTAAGAATTTTAAATTATTGAGACTAAGGAATTTTCCGTGATTGAAGATCCATAATAATAAAAAAAGTTTTAAATTGGTAAATCTTAATTCCCATTTGAATCAAATTAAGACATAATCTTTTAAAAAGAAATTACAAGATGGAAAAAATAGAAGAATATTTGTATGTTAATATAAAGGCTATGTAAAAAATTACAAATTTTCATTCAAAAAATTCCTTCAGATGTGAATTACTCTTCATTTGAGGGTGAATTTACTTATTATTTAAAATATTACTGTAAATTATCTGAAAAATTGCTTAAAGAATTGTAGGTAGAAGTTAATTCTAAAAATCATTATTAAACAATTCAAGAGTATTAAATTTTTAAAGATTCATTAAAAAATATTTAATTGATTAATTTATAAGGCATGCAATCAAATTTATTCAGCAATCTGATATATACTTCGAGAACATATTTTAATAGGGTCAACTCTATATTTGAGATTAAAGATGATAATACATTAGACAACTAAAAAAATTTTTTATAAACGAATAATAAAATTATCTTCTAATAAATCAGAAAGATATCAGAGAATCTATATTATAAAGAAGGCCAAGCAATGCATTAATTTACTCAAGTTTAATGTCTTATATATTTAATTCTGGTTGACTTAGCAATACTTTATGCTGAGTATTTAAATGGTAATACAATATTAGATGATACTTAAATCATTGAATTAAAACCTGAAGACTTTTAAAACAATCCTGATCATATATGTTCTTTCCTTTTTGATATTATGGAACAAAATAAACTTTCATTTACGGATATTTAGTGAAATAACTGGCAATTGAATAAATTTAATTTTGAAATATTAGAAATTTATATATATATATATATATGATATTAATTATAAACTAATTTTAGAGATCTTATCAAAAACTCATAATTGATTTACTTTAAGATAAATATATCGAAATTAGTTGAGATAATGTTTGTACTATAGCTTTCAATTTAATTATTTATTTAGAGTGTTCATTTTTAGATTAATATTTTTACTCAGTTATTATATTTTTAATATATCTAATGATATCGATTAAAATTATGATTTGAAATATTTATTTTTAACAATATATAAACCATGCATGATTTTGATAGCCTAAAGCAAAGATTATAATAATTTTCTATAATGTAATAATGTTTATCTAAATCAAGATGTTGTGCATCCTGGGATGTGTAATTTATATCCTTCTTCGCATTTTTATCCACTGAATCCGGATGAGCAACGTTCCTTAAAATAATAATAATCATAATACTTATGTGCAACATCCTTATGAAACCCATCCACAAATTTCACCTTTGTTGTCAGCACATTTTTATCTGCATGTTGGTCCCCAAACATCGTGTCTTTTTACTCTCTTAAAAACAGATTCTTAAATGTCACTGTTGAAAGCAATAAATGCTACGACACAAGCCAAAGCAATAGCTAAGTATAATAATTTTTTCATAAATATTTTAATGATTTAGAATCCTAAAAATATTAAAGATTTAAAGCCTGAATTTATTGAATTAAGTTTAGCATAAATGAAATACAAGGATGTAGTTAATACTTGAAAACTGGAATTAATGAAGTGTTAATTTGATATTAATTAGATAAATTAAAATCAAGCAGTTAAAAATAATAATCATAAAGCGAAGTATCTATATAAAATATTTTTATAAAGAATTTCATAAAGTGAAGTAATTAACTTCCACAGACTCAGGAGTTTACACTGAAGTCCAAATATCATCAATTAATTAAACTACTCCTTCTTATTCTTCAATTATCATGTTTCTTAATACTATCTAATTTTCTAGAATAAAATCGTTCTAATGCTGATTTAAAAGTTTCTATTGTAAGGATGCCTAAAACAAATTACGTTACTTGTTACCCAAATGATATCATTACCATCTGAGAGACAAATATTTTTGGTATATTGTGGCCCATATTTTGTATCACATTATTATGCTTCAGAAATGGCCTAAAATAACGAATTAAATTACAATTATCTTAGCATAGAGATCAATTTTTTTATTAGGTGATTATTTAAGGATATCTTTGATTGTATAACTATTTAAAAGAATAGATCCATTCTTATATGGAGTTGGAGGTGAACTTGGATTAGAGCTCATTTATTTTAATAATTTTAATAATAATACTGATTTTTAAATATTAAAAAACATTAAGAATACTAATAGAAAAACCATATTCAATCTTTTAATATTGAAATCATTCTAAAACATATATAAGAAAATAATTAGTTTAATTAGTAATGATTTAAAATTAATATTAGATATTTTATGAATATTCTAAAATTTTATATATAATTTTACATTATATAATTGATTGTAATATTTGTAATTTGAATTGAATTACTTATTTTAATTAATTTTTTGATGAATACATAAATATTATTAAGAACTATTATGAGAATTTTAATATTGTGTTAAGTGATTTCATAATTTAATAATAATTTTAATTTCTAAATATACACTCGACATCCTCTATGAGCAATGCATTTAAATCAGCTGGAAATACACTTGCAAAAGGAAATGATTTGGGATAGACAGGTCAAAGTTTTGCAGGATCTTAAAATCCTGCATCATTAAAGGGTAAATTAATGAGTTTGGAAGTAATGAAACTGATATTATATTTTTTAACAGGAAACAATTAAAGGTATCTAGGATGAGATGAATTTCCACAAAAAAGAAGTCTAAATATTGAAATCAGAGAAGGATACACTAGAATCAGTTTTGAGCATGAAAACTTAAGATGTTAAAAAAACATTAACTAATGAACTTATGAGAATTGAAGAAGAAATGAAAAGGTAAATATTATTAAATAAAAATAGACATTTTGCTCATTAGAAAGCAGAGAATTCTAGATTATAATAGTAAATTACTGCTCTCAAAGGAGAGAAAACTGCCTTACAATAACAACTACTTGGATTATAAAGAAGAATTGCTGAACTTGAGCTTTAGGTTGGATAAGAATAGGCATGATATATCATCAATTATAGAATAATTATCATTATAAATAATACATGCAATATTCATATTACATTTTCATAAATCATCATCATCTTTATATATATATATATATATGTTTATAAATATGTGGTTAAATAAAAACTTATGATTTAGATAAAATAATATCAATATCTAAAATTTTTATCTATTTTTATGCAAGCATCCTCTAATAATTTCAACAATGCCTCAGTTGTAGCTTCTCTTTCTCTTCTTTCAAAAGAAATGTCTTATTACAATTTTCCATGCACATCTTCAATCATTCTAAATATTTTTCCTTATGTTTCTTCTCTTACTTTTTTCTCTACTAATAATTAATCTGAAAATTTATTTATTTCACTATCTATCTAATCACCCAAACTTTCTGAAGATTCTTCTCTTTAAAATATATTAATTATAATTCTACCTTGATCTTCTTTCTTAATCTAATTAATTTTTAACAATCTAAATTTATTAAAGAACTTCAGCAATTTTAGCTTGACTTCTATCTTCATATTAATGTGTATTTCTTGTTATTGTCAATGTTATCTATGAAAATCTTTCATCAATTTATTTTTGTAGCTTGGTTTCTCCTTAATTTCTTGCATTCTTTTCCTATTCAAATGAAAGAGCAATATTATCAGATAATGTTCTAAAGTCTCTTTCTTTTTTATCATCAAAAGCCTAAATAATATAAGAGATTATTAAACCTCTCTTTCAGACTTTTAGTTATGAGCAGAATCTTACAACTTTAATACTGAATCCTTAAGCACTTTGAACTTCTATTCGTCTTTAGGTTTTTCTGATGCTAAAACATCTTCTATTATTTTAATTCTTTCTTCTAAAACTTCCCTTTTTTCTAATTTATCCTTATCAATTCCATTTTGGATGTGATTCCATTTGTCGGAAAGTAACTTTATTCTTTATCTAGATGGAGAGTCTAAGTCTTAACTGAGATAGTTGACATTTGATCTCTAAGGACTTGATATTTGAGATCGTTAAAGCTTTGAAGAACTCAATTTAGATGTTGACAAGAGCATTTAGGATTTATTTTACAAATAAATTTATTTCTAAATAAAATACTATTATTTTATAGTTTCATTAAACATCCTGTAATTTTTGAATATTTAGATCAATTTTTGGGTTTATAATAATCTTATAGTCTATACATTTTTAAATGAATATATAAAATGAATAATTTTAATCCTAATATTATTTTCATTTATTTAAAAAAATACCAACTTTAAATTAAATAACTAAAATATTAAGAATAAATTAATAAAACACATTATTACTTAGACAATATAGAATTTATATAATTATGTATATTTACTCTGATATGTAACTTTAATTAGATATATACATTAATTATTATTTAAGAAATCTATGAAAATTATTCTAATAATCTCAATAGTTTTATATCAATACTTGTGTGCTGATAAATTGTTGTTTATTTAAGCTATATGGAGACATGGATCAAGAACACCTGTTAATTGCAATTGGAATTGCGAATACTTTATAGAAAATGATTTATTGAATGGTTACCTAACTCCTACAGGAATTAGATAACACTTTGCTTTAGGTCAATGGATGAGAAAGAGATACATAGTAGATTATCCATTATTAAGTGATATATATGATGCATCTTAAATCGTTGTCTACTCAACTGATGTTAATCGAACAATTATGAGTGCCATGAGTAATTTATAAGGGATGTATTCAAATAATGGGCCAAATATACCTCTTGTTTAAGAAAGTTATTTAATACCACCCAATCCAGGAGCTAAAACTCCAACTGATATTGGTTAATCAGCACTTTAATATAATCTATAAGTATTACCTATTCACATGAAAGAAGCAATAACTGATGAAAGATTATTATCAATATTGATTTGTCCTAAAGGTTATGAAATGTTTGTGTAAAATATGCAATCAAATTTAACTATGGCTGTGAGTGTTAAAGCTTAAGATACTTTAATATAATTTTGTAATGAAATGAAAATAGATCCACTTGAATTCAATATATTTACACTTACAGAATATATGGATACATTTTATTCATGTATTTATAATGATTATCCTATGCCAAATGATCTTACAAAAGAAACATATCAAAAAGCTGATTCTTTATATGCCCTCACTATTGCCTTATAGCTCTATTAGACTAGACAGTATTTTATTTATTTATTAAGATAGACAGATAGATATCTTTTCTACACCATTTTTTGAATCTTTACTCTCTTATTTTGATTCTACATTGACATAATAATAGACAGAAAATAATTAAAAATATATTATTTATTCAGCTCATGATATAAATGTGTAATTAATAGCTTCAGCTTTAAATTTTACATCAGCTGAATGCATGGCTTAAGTTTATTTAGGACAAGAAGTCAATAACAAAAATTGTATTTACACTTATCCTGGTTTTGCTTCTAATATTATTTGGGAATTATGGGAAGATGATGTGACTCATGATCATTATATTAAAATACTATATAATGGCACTGAAATGGATGTTTGTAATACAGATTCAAAGAAATGTTCTTATAAAGTTTTTAAATAATTAATTTATAATTAAAAGAGAGATTATTAAAAAGAATGCGAAGTTCAGATTGATCCAATTGTATATAATTATTTAAACTTTAATTTTAGATTGAACAGAAAGTTCCTATATGGATGATAACATTATTAATCATATTTCTCGTCATAGTCTTAGTATTGTTTTTATATATTTTATATCTTTGCAAATAATTAAGACAAAAAAATAAGATTAGTTTAAATGAAGATAGAAGTTGAATTAATATTATTATTGATAATATATTATAATTCATTAATTTTGATAATAATGTTATTCCTATTTATTAGAAGCTAAGATTAATTATTTTCAATATAAATACTTTATTATGAAATTTTAAACCTTGAATTTTAATTTTAATTTTGCTCTTTGTTTTATTATGGCTGTTAATGATTAGTTTCATTTTTTATATCTATTGTCTTAGGTACTTAATTCATAATTCTATTTTATTCATTAAATCGACCACTAATCTGTTCTACTTTCTCTACGAACTTTTGAAAATTTTTTTCTAAATCTTATTTGACAGAATTGATTATTCTTTCCATTTATTTTTATAAGACATCAATTAACTTGTTATTCAGTTATGAATTTATGTACTAAATATCATTTATTATTATTTAATAATTTTCATTTTAATTTTTCGAAGTGACATTAAATTCATCATTTTAAGTTTTTCCTTTTTATGGATTTTAAGATAATTAAGTTTAAATCATTTATTTTAATGATTAAATTGATTATTATATTTGATGTTCAGAGTTTTCAATTTTACCTAAAATTTTACTTGAGTATTCATTGAAATACTTAGATATATTTTATTAATATTTTTCAGCATAAATATTTTAATCATTATTCAATTATTTTATTTCTTTGAGATTAATTTAAATTTTATCTATTTATTAATTATAATCTAAATTTACTTTTTTCATTTGTTCAAGACTTAATTAAGACTCTTTTTCAATTAATTTTTAAAGTTCTATTAATAATTATCTATTCTCTAAATCACAATTACATTATTTTTTGTTTGATTAATTAGATGTTATGAATCTCTAATCATCTTTTTATTTATCAAATAATTTTTTTTACAAATTATCTATTTATTATTAATTTTTTTCAGTTTATTCTATTAAACTTTTATTTTATTAAGTTAAACATTTAATTTACTCTATTAAATCTTTATTTTATTCTTATGCTTATTTAACTTAAATTCCTAATATTTATTAAATTTAAGAAATTCCACTTTTTAATTGATTTTATATATCATTTTATTAATTATTGATTTGAAATGGTTAAAAGTTTTAAATAGGAATTAATTAATTAGAATTTATCTAATTCTATTAATTCTACTAGATAAAGAAATTTTAATCTGTTTTATTTTTAGGTACAGGAGAAAAATTCATAAATTTTTATTATTAATTATCTTTCTTTTCATTTATTCTTTGATTATTATTTTATATTAATGATTAAGTTTCTTTTTCTATAATATTTATGAGTTGATCTAATACTTAATCTATTGAACATCTCTTTTCAGGAGAAGGAGCAAGCATTTACTTTAATAAAATTTTTAATTAATTAGGTATTTCTAATATATCAATCTTAATGTAAATTCCATCTTATTAATATTTATGATTTAAAACATTATTTTTAACCTACTCTATAGTATTTCCTAAATGTATATTCTATTTATATTACCTGATATTAGGGGGTATGCTTCAATTATTTCATAGAATACACATGCTAATGACCAAATATCAACTGATTAAGTGTATGAATTGGATTCTTCAAAAATTTCAGGACTACAATATAAAGGTGTTCCAACTTGAATAGTTTTTAATCGAATATTATTATTCTAACGAACTAAACCAAAATCTATCAATTTAAATTGACTACCAACCTAAATAAAGTTTTCTGGTTTAATGTCTCTATGAATTAATCCATTCAAATGTAAGAATTAAATAGCTTATGTGAGCTAATTAAATAATAATTACAATACTTATTTCATAATTTATAATTTATTCTACAATGGTTGTTGTTATTGAGATTATATATAAAGTTCTAAATTTTATACTCCTAGTTCCATTAAAATAACATTACAATCTTTCCAACTAAAGGTTTCATAAATTCTAATAATATTTGAAGATGTTTATTATATTTTATTCAATAATTTTGGGTTGTTTGTTTATTCATATTAATTTTAAGTTTAAATTAGAGATTATAAGAAATATATTTCATCTTATTTCATATTTTGTTGTAATTTTATAGCTATTTTTTCATTTACCTAATTATTCCATTTAAAGACTTTTCCTAAATAAACACATCCTTCTGAACCTTAACCAATTAATTTCTCAAGAACAAAGCTTCTATTTGGATAATTATTATTTGGAGCTTAAATAACTGAATTAACAAGCACTTTTGGATTTGATAACATTTAAGATTTATTTCTATTAATTTTATAAATGAAGAGTAAATGAAAGAAGATTGAAATAGCAAGGTATGATTAAAGTTGTTTTCAAATTATACTTTTATAATTCAAGGTTAGATATAAATAAAAATGTAAAAGATATACTATCATATATTTATATAAATATTATTATATTATACAATCTGATCTAAATGATCAAAAATACTCAAACACCACTTAATAAGGATGAATAAAAACGGTTGAATTAAATAGTTTAATAATTAATTGACTCTAATGATAGTGTAGAGTTTCGATAGCCTGTAGATTATAAGAGATTAAATTTGCCCGATTATATCTAAATAGTTAAGAGACCTATGGATTTAGGGACAGTACATTTGAAATTGAATAACAATGCATACAAAACTGTAGAGGAATGCTTGGATGAGATCTAATTAATATGGGATAATTGCAAATTGTATAATGGACCATAAAGTGTAATAATTTGAATTAAGATTGATAGTGGATAACCAAAATTGCAGAGAAACTTGAAAGATTATTTAAAAAGAATGTGAAAAATTATTTACCCCTTGTAAATCTTCCTTAAGTGGTACCAAAAACAAAAGAGATTACATCAGATGTATATTAAGAGGAACCTTAAGAATAAGTGACTTATAATGATAAGGTGGAATTTTCAAATAATTTAAAATAATTGGCTCCAGAATAGATAGGATTGATTGTACATATGATATAAAATACATCTCCTAATGCATTCATTGAAATAGAGCGGGAAAAATATTAAATAATTGTTGATAATATAGAATATGAAGCATTTACTAAATGTTAATAATAAATATAGGCATGGATATCAGGTGATGACATAAATAAAAAGGTGAAAATATGAAATATCAATTATTATATTTATATCATTTATTAAGTGAATCTAAAAATCTATAAAAATATTTCTGTAATTCTGATAATTGTATATCATCTGAAATGGTACGTAAAAACTATTTAGTATTCCATTAGAATTCTTCAGTGGTCACATTATCAGAAGGACATTAGGATTTATTCAATTCCTAAACTATCTACTTTTCAACTAAGAGGATTTAACTAAAAATATAATTATGATATAATAATACTTTTCATCTTCCTTATAAATAAATGATATCTTTTCGAACTAAGTTGTATTTTTGAATTCTCTTAATCTGATAAGAGAGTCGAAATTTAATTTCAATTGAGATTGAATATATCTAATCATAAAGAGTACCATTAAAGGAACATGAACATTATCATTAACTTCCAAAAGTTTTATAATAGCTTAAATATGTTCATGTAATTATCTTCTTTATTATAAAATAATCTTAATATTAGTATATATTCCATTTTCAGATGATTCAGTCATTTTTGAAGAGAAATGTTGACTATTCTTCTTCTAGAACACTTATTGATAAGGTGAAGAATTTTATCTAATTGCTAATATTAAATTATATTACACTTACGAGATACACCTCTTTTATTACTATTAGTGAGTGGTGAGACACTCTTTTGATTTTTTGGGATCCTTAATTAAAATAGTTCTTGCCAGGATATTCTCTGTCTTGGATCAACAGTGAGCATCCTTCTTAATAATCGTTCGATTCCCTCTGCAATTTGGTAAGGGATTGTTAACTAATATGGTGTGCATCGTTACAGGTTGATTTTGTATTTGGTACATTAATCTTGGAATGGTTACATCTTCATAGGGACATCTTCCAAAAAGCATCTCATAAAGACAGACTCCTAAAGACCAAATATCAGCAGAAAAGCTATAAGGTTCACCAAGTAATATTTCAGGTGCCATGTAGATTGGTGATCCTACCATTGTTTAAGTAAGATCAAATGGTTCAATATTTTTACAAAAACCGAAATCTGCAATCTTTACAATGTTATCATGTAATAGAATGTTGGAAGGTTTTAAATCTCTATGTAGAATGTTCTCTTTTTATAAGGATTCAAATCCATTCAATAATTATGCAAATTTATCCATAGCATCACTTTCTCTAAGATTACGACTTCTTTGAATATACTCTTCAAGATTACCACCATTGCAAAACTCATAAACTAAATATAAGTTATTCTTAGAATTAAATAGTTCAATAAATTTAATAACATTTGGGTTGTTAATCCGTTTTAATGTTTCGACTTCGTTCATTGTGAATTAAGTTAATTTCGGTAATTATTTAAATCGAGTTAGTTTGATGACTTTTATTGCATAATATTCTTGAGTATTATGTTTATTAGCTTTATATACTTTGCCATATTATCCTTACCCTATTTAATTGAGCAATGTATATTTATCTATAGTTTTCATAATATTTAATATTATTGTAAAAATAATTACAATATAATCTAACTATTTATATATATATTATATTTAACTAATTAATTTAATCAATCCATATTATTCTGTCTCTTTCTAATAAATATTATAATATTTATATAATTTATTGTATATATTTAGATATTCCATCTTGTCTTTCCATTTATTAAAATGTTCTTAATGTTTTCAAATAAATTTCAAATATTTATTAATATCATTAAAAAATAATCATTTTATTTTCTTTTTCAATAATACTTTATTAATTTAACTTTCATTTATTTCCATTATTAGTTTAAAATAATTATAATTATTAATTTCTATATTTATTATATAAAATAAGTTAAAATCAAAAGCATAACCAAAACAAATTTAAGTATTACAATAAGGCTCCCATATATTTTCGTTTGTGATTTAAAGCAAACTAAATTATATCAAAATTTATTATTACTTTTCCATTAGCAATTTGCTAACCTGAAAGAACTGTAGCAGTGCCAAATAAACAAAAGATTACAATAATTATCAAAATTGGTATTATTTCAATTTTTAAGGAGGCTGCTTAATACATTATTCCCATTATTAAAGAAATAACAAAAGAAATAATAAAATATTCTAACAAAATTATTAATTTATTTACATTTTGGATCTATTTTCTATTATATTAAAGTGATTACTAACATGATACCAATTGATATTAAAATTGATAAATGTATTAATATACTAACATATATAATTTATCTTTCCAACTCAAAATCAAAATCCCCTCCATAATTTTTATTCCCAACACAAAAACATTCAATAATAGCAATAAATTTAACATGAAAAATACCCTCAATTATAATTACCAAAACAAACAATAGTTTATCAAAGTTATTATTATTTATGTTATTTAAAAAAACTAATTTCTTTTCATTTGCATATTTTATCAAGATTAAAGCAAATAAACCTAAATACAAACATCCATATTATATTAATCCTTTTGTTTGATAACAATAAAAATCTATTTGAGTAACATTGAATATCAAAATTATAAATATGGTACTTTACCAAAACAACCATATGTATAATGTTGAACGAAAAAATTCTAATTTTGAATCTTAATTAGTATCAGAGAGTAATTATAATTATTAATTATTATCTTATTGTTATAATGGATCAAAAGGAATTATTGCATTATTTTATTTTTGATTTTAAGAGGGATAGGGACTATATTAAAAGTCTAATTGTTCACTGAACCTATTGATTTTCATTATAACATTTGATTCATCAACATGACTTTGCTAATTTTTAGCTTAATCAATTTGTATTTTATCATTTTCTAAAGATTTTTACATTATAATTATTTATTTCTTATGAATAATAATTTAGTTAATATTTAAGACAACATATATTGAATTCCATATAGATTTCAATAGAAAAATAAAAATAAAAGATTATGAAATATTGATTAAAATATAAATCATTTATTATTTTTCTTTGCTAATTTTTCTTATAACTCTTAAATTGAATAATTCTCTGAATCTTCATAAAATATATTAAAATCATAATTGATATCTTTAAATTCATCATATGGATTAAGTGCAATTAATAGATAATAATTTAATTGATTGATATCTAATTATTTACTAGCTAAATTTTTAACAATCTTAAGACATTCCATAATACTTTCTCTATAGAGTACATTAAATATTTCATTAGCTTCAAAATTCTCATTCAAAACTGCATAAAAATTCTTTATCATTCCAACTACTAATTAATTATTTTTATTATTCTCAAATTCCTCTTGTAAAATTTACTAACATCTTTTTGTAATCGAATTAAAGAAATCTAAAGAATTAAGACCATCTTATTCTATTTACGCTACCAATAATTCAAATTACTAATGTTTTATACACAATCTTAAATACTTAAGATTTTTGAAATCTTCCCCAAAGATCTTGATCAAAATTGTGATTACCATTTGCTTGAAGTTAATTACTAATTCTTGTTAATACAATCATTTAATATTTAGCTATTAAATAAATCAATCTATGATAAAAATCTATTGATAATTATATTTGCCAATCTACTTACAATTTAACTATCTTTTAAACAAGAAAATTATAAAAAAAGGCAATATTTCTTTCAAAAATAAAATATTAATAATATTTGTAAAAAACATCTTTCTTCTTCTTATCATTCTTATATTTAATATACATTCTTTCAACCTTTCTATAATATTTTATTATTACATTGATATCAGGTTCTTTTTCAAATAAACATTATTATATTCTTGCTTCCACATCACTTGATTGATATTAAGTTTCCTCTAAAGTTAATACTATTTGCTCTTTCATTAGATATCTGATAACTAAATTTTTCTCTAGTAAAATACTGTTTGCTTTTAAAACATATAAAAATTCATCTTATTTAAGATAAAATAATACCTTTATCTGATGAACCTTAAAAATCAATTTATTCTTCTTCCTATTTGATAATTAATATAGGATCTTGAATCAAATCCTCAAATGAGATTCTGTCTTCTTATGAAAAAGTAAGCATTCTTGTTATGAGATCTTTAAGAGTCTATTTTCTAATTGGTCTAGGAGGAAATTGCAATGGCTAACTAAGAGAGATAAGTACGTACGAATTTACTAACATTTTCCAACCATTCATGGATAGAATATGCCTACCAAGGAAATACTCCATAAAGCATTTAATAAAATATTAAGCCCAATGACCAAATATCACATTTATTAGTAAATGGTTATCCATGCAGAATCTCAGGAGCCAAATAACTTGGAAATGGAACATTCCTTAAGGTATTTAAGTCTTAAATGGCAACTCCTTTCATAAATTCTTATTATAGAATTCCTGCATAATAAGGATCAGAGATTTTAGCCACTCCTTTATGTAATAAGATATTGGATGGTTTTAAATTATTATGAATGATGTTAGCTTTATTTAACTCTTTATATCCTTCTATAATATGCTACATGAATTGTATTGACTCATGCTTAATTTATGAACACATAAAGTACTTCACTTAAGGGTTTCTCTTTTCTTAGAGTTAAATAATCTTGTAAACTACCATCTTCACAATATATTTGAATGAAATATAACATATTGTGATTTTTGATAACATCATATATTTTAACCAAATTAGGATGTTTGATATTCTTTAATTTCTTCAATTCCATTTTGATGAGATCTAAGATTTTCAAACTTTCAGATTCAGACTTATTATTTTAATTGAAAATTTACATGTAATTCGCATTATTTGATTGCTAAACATTCTGTTGTATTAGTTAATAAACATCCTCTAAATACTGTACCTTTTGATGCAACTTACATGTTGTTAAATAACACATACTATTCCAAATACTTGATTACAGAACTTTCAGTCATAAATGTATAAATAATAATAATTTAGATTGTATTTAGTAATTTTTACAATACTAAAATACTTAATTATATTAATTATAATTGTTTATATGTATAACATAGAAACAAGAGTATTTGAATAATTACATTATGATTATTAAAATACAAATGATGATCCTTATTGACTTTCTTATCTGATATTTATAATAAAAATAATAATGATTATAATTTAATCGGTTAACCAAAATGTCTATCAAGAAAATGAATAATTTTTTTAAAGCTGAAAAACCACAATCTAATGAAAGTAAGAAGTATTCAAATTCATTTAATGCTAACCCACAATAAACTATTAATAATGCTTTAGATTTAATGCAGAACTAGTCATAATAGAGAAAAGGGAATTTCATAGAAGGGAATTAAATATAGAAAAAGAATGATTTTCATTCTGATTAGGATTCAAATAGCAGTAGTGAAGCTGGCTTATTGTAAACAAAAAAGCTATAGAAAATAATGGAAGAGGATTATGATAATGAAGGGTAATCAGCAAAGATGAGTGGTATATGATTCATGATTTAATTTTAGAAAGTACGATATAAAGATATTAACATTTTAAGAAGTAAAGGATACAAAATACAAGCATTAAATATTAAGATGAAATTAACAATAGTAAGATGAATAATTCTAAAACATATACAAAATAAGAAGACAGTAGACATTCTAATAGTTAAGATAGTTTTGAACCAAATATTCCAATTTCTAGAAGACATACAGATCGTTAAGAGTAATTAACCAAACAAATGAATTATTTCAAACCTCAATAATCTACTTAATAACCTATATCAGATTTCAAATTAGAAATTGGAATATAAGTTAGTTAATTGGATTCTGATCATTCTAAATCATCTATGGATCAATCTTCAGATATATCATCTAAGGATAATTATTAAAAAAATGAAAATAATAATCTATTGAGATTATTAGATAAAAATACTAATCCAAGATTTTCATAACAACAAAGTTAACAAGGTAATTATGATTAAACATCTAATTAAACAGAATAAATTTAACTTAATTTTGAATAGAATTGTAATCCCATTCTAAATCATTTGTCTAAATTATAAGCAAATAATATTCCATAGAAAGCAAGATTAAGTTTGTTTTCCTAAAAAACTGTTCCAAATTCAGCTTCATAGTAATATTCTCAATTCTCATAATAAAATCAATTTTAATACTGTAAATAAGGTATTGTATTGAATACTTGTAAATCATTAAGTGGAGATATTTTTACATTGAGACCAGGGAATAAAGTGATTGTAGTAAAGGTTGATTAGGAGAAGAAGTTAATTTAATGTGGATATCAAAATATGTTAGGATTGTTTTATCTTAGAGACATTGCAATAAAAGATGGTATGATTTATGATAAATTTGGCAGAGTCACAATAAAATTCTAAGTTTCAAATTAAATCAAGAACTTAATCTTCCTTTGAAATGAAGTATAAAGAATTACTAAATGACAAATACAATGCCAAAAGTAAATCACCTAATAATAGATCATTCTAAGGATAGTCTAAGACACCAACTAAAAAGCCTTTTATGAGGTTTTGAATTAAATCTATATTCCTAAATTTAAATTATATTTAATATAAATAACTATAAAGACATATAGATTATGTTCATATGAATTATTAATAAATATAATTAAATACTTTAGATAAGAATATAGTAATATTTATTATAATCAAAATTACTAGATATATAAATATTATACTATATAAAACTAAGGAATTATTATTATATAATTAATTTAAGATAACTATTATAAATAAATAATATATAAAAGAAAGTAAGATCTTTGATTATACAATAAATGATTTTGCATTGTTTATTTAATTTATTATAGGTAGTCTTAATTATTAAGAATATAATATATATATATATATATAATAATATAAACGAAGTTCATTTTATCAATTAATTTTAATTTTAAATCTCTATAATTAATCTATTAATGAAGGTTGTTTCAATTTATAAATATCTTAATTATCTTTAATGTACAATCTCAATTATTTGTGTCTCAATATTATATTGAATGCTAATCTTAATTGAGATTCTTGAAATGAATCTGAAAGATTGAATTTAAGTAATAGTTTTATAATAAGTTCACTCAATACTTTTTATTTATTGGTTCTGATATAATAAATCATTTAACCACAACGTTTTATAAAAACTATAATCATTTGTAAATTAGTATCATAACCTTTTTGAAGATAAACTTTAATGATTTCTAATAAAGATTCATCAAGATCATCTCTTGTCATAATTTCCTCACTTAATGTGAATAAGATAGATAAAATTTATGGTATCTGAAGTTATTACTAAACTGATGAAATTACAACATGTTTAATTAATTAAGGTATACATTATAGACCTCTTAAATCAATAGTTTCTATTGAACAGATATCTTATACTAATTATTAAATGTTTGAATTTTTAGTCAATACTTTTTCTTAAATTTGTTAAATCAAATCATCAAATGTTCCTAATTCACTTAATTAATATTCACTCTATTCTTCTTATTATTAAATCACTTAATGATTTTTGTTTGTAGTTATTTTTATGATCACTGGTTCCTTAACATTTTATTATTTTGAAACAACCTTAGCTGAAAAGCGTTAAACTCCATAATTGTTTTTGAATTTTGGTTACTCAATCATTCTTGGTTTGTTAATAGATTGTCGAATCATGACATCTGGTGTAAATGGTTATTGAATCTATCCTTAAAATCTAATTGCTTCTTAAAATGTAGTTGTTTTATTCATTAATTGTGGAAATTAAAAGACTTATGGTTTCAAACATTCTTTATTATTCACACCTTAATTTCTAGAAGATGCTATTTATTTCTTTAATTAGGTATTTCTCTTTATCATTTTTATATTTTTATTAAATTCAATTTATAATTATTTTACATAAACATTCATTCTCTACAAGGTAAATCTAATCTCTAATAATAAGCATTCAAAGAACCCACATAAGTAAATAAAATTGCTATTACAACACTTATATGCCATATTTGATGACTCTATCCACAATTATCAAACTTTCCAGGTATATGTTTCTCAGGAAATCTAATATTATAAATATATAAGCCTGAACTAAAAAATATAATAAATATATCTTACAGATAAGCTATAGCCATTGCTACATAATAAGGACATTAAGTAGCAAAACTAAATCCTTCTAATTTAGCATCATCAATTGCAAAATGAATAAATGGTATTGCACTTGTAACTCCAAGACCTGCAAACAAATTACTTTTTAAAGTTCTCCATTCCTCTTTATAGAAAAAGTCAAATAAACATAAACTGAATAATATAATTGCAAAAAATCCTTAAATGCTTGCATAAATAATTGCATAATGAGGATTACATTAAAATCCATAAAATAATGGAGCAAATGTAGAACCAGAAACCAAAAAACAAATACCAGCATAATCCAATCTTAATAATATTTTATTAACTCTTTCTGATAAACAATAAAAAAGATGATATATTGTACTACAACCCAAACATACTATTGCAGTTATTAAAAATGCAATCAATGGCCATCTAGATATTATTTTATGTAGTTTTTATTCATTAATTGTTTAATGACCTGTTAAATGTTAAAATCCTAAATATAAATCAATCCAATCAAAATCTTTTGATTCTATTATTTCTGTTGCTTTTACTTTGTAATCATAAATAATTTCTGATATATTGTATTTCCATTACAAATTTTCCCAATCAAATGCTTATGCTATATTTTTTTGGATTTTCTAAAATTCCTAATCATATTAATGAGCCACTTCATTTATAAACTTATTCACATTTTCTATATTTTCTTGTAATTATTATTGAACCATCTAAACATCATCTTTTAAAATATGCAAACCAAGTTCCAATTATCCTTAAACTTTTTATTCAAAATTATATGCTTCTTAATATATATTATGTAGAGATTCTATAATAACACTTTAAAAATTACCATGAAATTAATTAATTGCTTTTTATCTAAACAATTCATCATAATTTAACCATAAATAAAATATCAAAGAGATAATAATAAGAGCACCAATCAAATGTGTCCAAATATTTACAAGTTCATTATGCCACATGAATAGACTCTTTAAAACATCTTTATTATTCTTAAAATTTATTCTATATCCTCTTTTGATATATTTATCTTTTAAATGACTAGGAGCCTTACAAATTGGACCACTATTATAAATTTAAATTCATACATTATCATATTTTAATCATCTTTATTCTTTTATTCCTTTTTCTCAATATTAAACTCTGTTACAACTCTCTAGATTACTTCCGAGCTTGATTCCAACATTTTATTTAAATATTTTGTTAAGCTTAGTAAATAATTTAATAAGACTTAATAATATACATTAATATTAGCGATTAATCTTTTATTAAAATGACATATTATTAAAATATTCATAATAATTTTAATAGAATTTAATATCAATATATCATTTCTCACTTCTACTTTCATAAAATCTTACATAATTGTTCACTTATTAACTTACCTGTTCTCTAATATTTTTTTACATGCTTTAATTCATTTAACGTCTATAAATGAATACAATAAACAAAATAAAGAGAACACTTATAGTTATTACTACAACAATCAACCAAAAGTAAGAGTTTTCAATTTCACTATTTGGTTCATATATTACTAATTTTTCAGCACAAGCATCAGGCATTTCTATAAAAGAAGCACAAATAGCTTCTTTAATCTCTTCTGCCTCAATATTACCCCTGTATGCAAGACTATTAATCGATACACCAGGATAAAATATTATTCCAGATTGATATCTTAATTTAAAGTATTATTCCAATATTGTATTTTCTCCTTTTTCAGGTTCAAGCTGATTTAAGTATGAATCCTAAATACACTTTTCTATTGCAGCCTTTTCTTCAGGTGTTGCAAAATATGTAAAACATTGATCATATTCATTTGCTTTTGTACATTTCTTTGTAAAATAATTCTATATATTAATTTATTATAATTACCATATAAGACCACCAACGTTCAGTATTATATTACCAAATACATGATTAACGTAATTATTCTCTAAGAACATCAGATCCTGTTCCAAATGCAATACCATTTGGATCAAATTAACAATATCTTCCTCCTCCTAAACAATCTTGATTCTCAGTCTTCCAATTATTTGCCTCACATGAAAGACAACGTAAAACTTCATAAAAGATTTAAAAATTAATGTGTTCCTGTAATTCAAGATACATTGGTCTGAACTCATTTATTAATTTGAATGTGTCTTTGTTTTCAATATTTAAACCAAAAAGTACATTAGTCTAATTAAATATATAAATATACTTTATTTGATGTTTGACTTAATTTAAATTCTATAGTTCCTATTAAATATCTTGATGTAGATTTCTCTAAAAATTAAAGTAATTTCTCTCCATCTATTTTTGAGATTAGGATAGATGGAATATCAATTTAATATCCATTACCATCATCAGCCATCATTATTGATTCTACTTTCTCATCTCTATTGTCAACAATTATCAATAATTTTGCCTTCATATTCTAAGCATTAATAGCCTAGAATAAATATCAAAAATACTTTTCGAGTGAATGGGCAATCTCCTCTTCTGACAATCAACCATTTTTCACTAGCAGGTGAATAAAATTGTAAATTCATATTGTATGGAGCTTATTCACATAACTTAAGTGTCTTATCTTTTTCTGGATCTACAGGAGGAGCAAAAAGTTATCCAGCCATTCTCTTCCCATAAGGTATATGACCAAAATTTGCAACAGAATACTCTGCATATACTATATCAGGAAAATCCTCCATCTTAATAGGGCTTTGAACTTTAAGTTTAGCCAATGTTACCCCTAAAATTATGAACAATACACAAAATGTCATTAATATATATTTTATTTATTAATCAATCTAATTATGAATTTCTCTCAATTCTTTAAATCCCAATTTTAATTTGATTCCTATTATTCATGACATCAACTCTTTATTAAATAATAGATAAAAACACTTTATATTTATATAATTACTTTTTTATTTTATTTATTATGAATTTTTCATAACATAAATATACTCTAATATATGATAATAGTTAATAGTTTTAGTACTTTTAAAATGTAATATTTTGATAAATTCTGATTCAATATTTTATATAGTTAACAATTCATTAATAAAAATGATTAATTATTATTTGTATATTTATAGAATGAATTTAATACATTAATAATTATTAACATTAAAAGAGAAATTATATTTTTTAAAGAATATTAAATTGATTGATAAGTATTAAAGATTTACACATAACAAATTTATTATAATTTTTATATACATCAAGTCCATAGACTTATTACTCCTTCTTTACTTGCCGAATAAATCCATGGCTAAGTTGGATGAAATGCAACATCCATTACAGATTCCTTCTTCTTTTATTTCAACACTTTCAAAGGTAGAATTACTGGTGCTTAATTCAAATCAGTACTAATACGGCAATGGAAGATGTTTATAGTTCCTACAATATATATATAAAATATTACCATCATCAGAACATGAAGCAAATAAAGGATAAGATTTATGGAATAAAACACGTCTAACTCCATTTTTATGATAACTCATTTTTTTAAAAGGAGTTTTACCCATATCTAAATCAAACCAACATACTTTTTAATCATTTGATCCTACAATTAAATTATCTCCATATGGATGAATTGCAATTGTTGAATTTTATTAATTACCTGCTAATAGTTTTTTCATTAATGATTATTTTGTTAATGAATAAATAAAAATGTTTTTATTTGTCATTATATACAATTCAGGTTTAGTTGGATGAAATATAGTTTATTAAACTTCAGTTGATGCTTTCATATTTTAAAAAGGAATAGATGTAGATGATTTACTAATAGAATGAACTAAAATGCAATGAGATTTAACATGAGTATGAGGTTATGTACTTACAATATAATCAGATTTACTATGAAATTGAACATACAAAGGATCATAAGGCATTTTAACTTCAAGTAATTATTGAAATACATTATCATCTAATTCAAAGTCCCACTCAAAAACATTATTTGAATTTTTAGGAATTTATTTATTTGCTTTTTCACCATCTTCAACATTAGGATGTTATCTTTTATCAATATAAGAATTTAAGATAATAAATCCATTTGATTATAGAATACAAATTAATCCAGATTAACTAAAATCTAATCCAAAGAATTATTTATCATTTGATTACCATTTAGTATATAAACATTTAGTTGTTTTTGTATCAAAAAATGCAACAGCAAATTCATAACACACTCCTAAAATTTAACCATCTAATGATATCGAGATCTATTTAACTTAACCAGATTTTGTTGTATCTATTTAACCAAATTCAAAATTTAATTTAGTTGGAAATGGTTTCAATTCTTCTGGTTTAGGAATTTCAGGTAAAAAATCTGTTGATTTCATCATCAATTTCTTTCTTCTAATTCTAGGTGCCAAATATAAATCTAAACATCGATTAAATAGATCTTTTGTTAATTATTCTGATGAAGGAACATTTCTTAAATGTTTAAATTTTTATGGAATAAATGGTATTTCTCTATCTTCTGGATCAGTTTACAACCACTATTACTTTTCTTATTCAGTAAATAGATATTCTTCTGGAGGATTATAACTAGCAACATTAGATGGTAATTAAGCTTTAGCTGCTGGTATTCTTGCTGGTAAGTATTTGCTTAATACTTGATCTTCAGCAACATTTTCCCACATATCAAACATTTTCTCTACTTTTTAAGGTGGATTCAATACAATTCTTCCTAATTTTATACCTTATACTAATTTATTAATTTTTATTCTTTCCCATTTTGATGGTAAGAATCTACGTTTAGGATTATAAGATGATAAAAGATCAAATTAATTGAAATCTTCATGTTCAAAATAATACTAAAATAGAGATATATATTTACATCATCTGCTAATTTGATTGCAGTTTTTCCTGTTCTAATTCTATCTAACATTTACAATTGCTTATCACTTAATACTACATCTTGATTATTTAATTCATCTCTAACTACTCTCCACCAATCTTTATTTTCAGCCTTATTAATAAATTCATCAATAGTATCTTAAAACTATTTTTTTTTCTAAATTTTATTTAAATTCTCATCATAACCAATAAAATCTTTATCTTTATATTTCTTTGTTTGTAATCTTCCAATTTTTGATAATATCTATATTAATTATACTAAATAATACTTTTTCATCTTCACTATCATCAGATTCTTAATAGTATTGATCATGAATGTTCTTTGGTTATAATGACAAGTCCTTTTTAATTGATTTCTTATTTCTAATTGCTCTAATATTTATTGTATTGTTTTAATTCATTAATTATAAATTTAATTTAAGAACAAATTATATTTACTTTATCTCATTTAGGCCCACCATTAATAAAATTATAATGATCATTTGATTTTTTTGATGCCAAAGATGTAAGTACTTTTGAAGGATGAAACTCATTTTAATATGCTCTCTTTTATGTACAATAATTTTGGATTTTTGTAGGAAATAAAAATTAATTACTATGAACAGGACTAAATCCACCCATAGCCATACTAGATAGATCTAAAACTGTAGGTTAAACTTAATCTCTATCTACACTTAATCTAGATAATCTTGGAACATGTGTTTATCTAATAGGTCTAATAACTGATCTAAAATTAGGTTCATAACTGATTTGATTTTGATTCAGGATTGTATTATTAGTTATAATTTCTTTTTGAGGATCAGTTGAATTTTATAAAGGTTTTAATTTAATTTAATGTTTAGTTGTATTATTACTATTAACTACGCTATTATTAATAAGTTTTGTAGGACTAGGAACTTATGAATTACTAGGTTTTTCTTTGATTCCTTATTGAGAATTATTAAGACTATCATTTTTTTAGATATACAATTTAGTTTAAGTTTTAAGTGGAGATTTTCTTTTCTTTTTTGGAGATTTGATATTTGTACTTATTTTCATAGATATATTTTGATCTGATTTTTCAAATACACTTTAATCATTTTACAATTCATTATCTTGTTAAATCATATCAGTTTAAGATTCATTCATCTCTAATTTAATTTCTTCATTATCAAAATCATTAATTGGTTCTTCCATATTCTTCGAACTTGTGGAAGGTTTTCTTGTTCTAATTATGAATTATAATTTAGCTTAAACTGTTGATAATTATTGACTTTACACTTATTATTTAATTTATTTTTCACTCTCAATTTTATGTGCTAACAATATTTAATTGTAATTTACTTATTTGAACTAATCTTTTCTATTATTCAGTTAAAGTCTTCTAATAATCCTCAAACAATTCATCATAAAATTCTTTATTGATAGTTAATTTCCCTTCTTTTTTATTCTTATCTTCCTTTAATTTAGACTTTTACTCTGAATATTTATTACAAATTTCTCTATTTTCTAATTTCTTCATATAACCCAATTTTGATAAAAACATTACTGATTTAATTAGATTAAGAAGTTTCTACTATTAAATCCAAGTGTGAAAGATTTCCTCCATTGTTTAAGGCACTTCAACATCATTCTAATCATTCAACCAAGGATGAAGCAATCCCTAATCAGCTCTATATCTTTTGGTTTAGTCTAATTCAGTTAATTTTTTAAATAGACTATATTACAATCTAAAATTCTTATATCATTTTAAATTGTTACTAAGTAAGATTGCCTTGCTCATGCATCACTTTAGTCTTTTGTAAAATCTATTCAAGAGTGTCTCCTTAATTATAATATGGATGCTACCCATTATTAAGTAACATAAACATAATAACACCAACTCCCCAAATATCTACATTCTAAATATCTACATTTAATAAATACTTTGCTATAGATTTTATTCATTAAAAGTTCTGGTGCCATGAAAATTAGAGTTCCACATTATTTAGTCATTAATTAATTTTAAACAGAACTCAACCCAAAATCACTTAGCTTAACACAATTTAAGTCTTCATTGACTAGAATATTCTCTGGCTTTAAATCTCTATGAACAACATTATTCTTATGCATATATGCTAAGGCTTATAAGATATTCCTAATAATTGTTTTGCATTGTTCCTCTGTAAACCATTTACCATTCTTATGCAACTTCTACATTAAATCTTCTAAAGAACCTATAATTTTATACTTATATATACCTCCTTATATAAGTTCCATTATAATTAAAATTCTAGTGTCAGTTTCCTTAACATCTATAAATTTTACAATATTCTCATGTCTTAAACTAGCCAAGATAGATGATTCTTATTTCAATTAATCATATCGATTCACTAATTTCTTCTTTATTATCTATTAAAATAGTTTGGCAGAACATACTTTTATTGCCACTTCTTATTAGGTAGTCAAGTTAACTGCTTTAACAACAATACCAAATGCACCTTGTCCAATCGTTTCCTTATACTGAAAATAGTCACTAAATTTTCTCATTTCATCTCCTTCTATCAATTTCTTCAATTGATCCTCCATTTCTTTAATATTATTATATTATATCTCTTATAATGCTATAAATTATAATAATTATCAACTTACTTAAGATACTTATACTTATTATACAATTTATTATATTATTTTCCAATTCCTATTCCTTTAATTTCTTAATTACAACAAATCTTCACTCCTAACCAAGTTTATTAGCTCAATTATATAATTTAATAATGGGATCAGTTTGTGCTAAGAAAAAAGAAGCGAGAATTAATTAAGTCATTTAAGAATAATCTGCCTCACCTTATATGCCTGATCAATAAACTTCCTTATTACTCTAAGATAAAAAGACTCAACCTTAAACATTACTTAAAGTCAAGATCCCTAAAGTAATCTATTTTTATTAGTTCTTTCTTAGAAAAACAAAAAAGTAAGAGAAACTGTTAAGGCAGTCACACTGAAAAATGAAGAAGTATATATACATCAAAATATATCTATTTAGGGATAAAAGATGTTAAATGATTACGTTTTCGATGAATTTTTAGGTTAAGGTGCTTTTGGTAAAGTCAAACTGGCATATAAGAAAGGAGATCCCTCTCAAAGATTTGCTATTAAAATACTTAAAAAGAGTAAACTTAAACGACAAAGGGAATTTGTTAAAGATGCTAATGGAAGTATAACTACTCATTCTATTTTATTATAGATCTTATTGTTAAAGATGCATTACAAGATGTTAGAAAGGAAATTGCAATCATGAAAAAAATAAGACACAAAAACCTTATTTAACTTTATGAAGTGATTGATAATCCTACTAGTGATAAATTGTTTATGGGTAAATTTCTTCATTTTTATACTCTAGTTCTTGAATTTGCAGAAGGAGGTCAACTGATTGAATGGGATGAAGATGAAGGCAAATTTTATAAATTAAATGAAGATGAAGAATTAACAGAAGATATACTTTCTTCACTTTTTAGAGATTGTATTAAAGGCTTAGCATTCTGTATTCATTTATTCATATATATTAGTACATAAAAATAAAATTGTACATAGAGATCTCAAACCATAAAATGTATTAATGTCAGGTAAAACAGCTAAAATTGCAGATTTTGGAGTTTCATAAGTTGTGGGTTCCAAAAATGATGTACTCGAAAATACATAAGGAACTTATTATTTTATGCCTCCTGAAGCTTGTGATAAAGAAACAGCTAAAGATGGATATTCTGGTAGAGCTGCTGATATTTGGGCACTTGGTATCACCTTTTTTGCTTTCACATACTTAAATGTCCCTTTTACTGGAAATAGTATCCCTGAAATACTCAAGAACATATCATAAAATGAGTATATCCTTATTCAAATATATAGAGTGGTTTTCCCTGAAAATTCTGTTATTAGTGATGGACTTAAAGATTTTATACATTTCATTTTAAATAAAGATCCAAAAAAAAGACCAACAATCAATGAAATTGCTAAACATCCTTGGATTAATTAAAGTTCTGCCAACCTATTAGATGAAATGTATTATGCTATAATATCTCAATAATAGGGATTAAGAAGAAAAAGTCATGGAAGTCTCATAAGTTGATATTGATAATGCATTTTCTTTAGTTTCATTGATGAAAATTAAAAGTTGGGCATAAAAATGGAGAACTGAATCTAATCTAAAAAAAGCTGGACCATAAAATGGAGTTGAAGAAATAGAGATTAAATGAATTCTAAATTATATTGAATTTTATCTTAATTTTGGTTCGAAACTAATTACTTATCAATATGATGTTTCAATTTCTAATTTAATTCTTAATATCAATTTTTATCAAGATTAAATAAATTTAAAAAAAGATTAAGCTTCTCAACATTTAAATAAAGATCGATCTATTATTGTATATAAAAAAATACTAAATTGAAATATTTGTTTTTTCATTTCAATTTAATATCTGTTAAATTATAGATAGAGATGAATACATATATATATATATATTTAATTACAAAAATAAATTTATAAATTCAGCTTTAATTTCTAAATTCCTCCTATTATCTTTAATGCTCTCTAATGTTTATCATCAAATAATTACCTCTTAATTTACTCTAATCTTTAGTTAGTTTTATTTCTTTCTATCTGAAATAGTTTTTCAAGTCTCTTTTATTCTTCAGGATTTTTTGCATTAGCCATAGCTTATTCTCTTTCAAATTCTAATTATTACTCCTCTTCTAAGACCTTTAGAATATAATTTAATTAATACATCTATCATTTCTTAATTTTATCGAACCTTCAATTAATCTAATAAATTTTCATATTTATTAGATAAATTAAACTTTCCTTAATTTTGAGAACCATATTAAGTATTTGAAGAATTTGTTAACACTTTTTATTATTATGATTTTGGTCTAATAATATGACGCATATCTTTATTTGATAGAGTATTTTAATATTTTGCAGTTGATGCTATTATTTAAATTATAAAATACGTCGAACATTATGGT